ATCACTCTCTCGTCGGCATCCACATGGATGCAGTCAAATGCTGGAGCTGGAATCCAGAAGGGGAGGGTGGGCAGGCGAGTGATCTAAAGACAGAACACGAGAGAGGGAGAGCGAACAAGAGAGGGACGGGGTAAGAGAGGGAGAGAGAGAGAGAGAGAGAGAGAGAGGGAGAGCAGGGACAGTGTCAACAGCTCAGCTCCCAGCACAGTCAGCTGAAATCCAGCGCACAGCTCAGAAGCTCAGAGAAGGGAAGCAGACAAAACGCAGCTGCTTTAGCTGGGAAACATAAGATTTGTGTTTGGTGCAATCCATCCATTTACCTCAAATTTTCAATGGCCAAGTGAGAGGTTAAAATCCAGAAGATGTAGGAACGCTTTGAAATCTTTTAACCCTGCTTTACTGAGAGAATCCTTATTTTTCCATTGCTGGTGACGTTTCTTTGGGACAATCCATCTCTCAGGGCAACCCGTCTGAAGTGGGTAAGTAGAGAGATATTTGATCTTGATACTGATACGGCATAGCACTGTTCACCTTGCAGGAGCTCACCCCACATGACAGGCTACAGATGTGTGAACGCAGTTTGTCCATGCGCCGCGTCCTCCTGCTCAGCTCAGCCAGGAAAACACAGACTACTGCAGCCAATAAAATAAACATTAGTCAGTAGACTCAGTAAAAAGCTGTGCAAGAGAGGAGCTGGTGGGCAACAGAGGATACTATTCCCACTAAAATGATAAAGTTTCCATATTTTCTGCTGTTGTAATTGGTGTGAACGGCAGTATTTTACTGTCTTATTTTTACTACAGTGGCTTTATAGGTAATAAACAGAATGTGTGCAGTCTTTATATTTGGGCTGTTGCTCCAGCGGTGTTGACAGCACACCTTGCTTTACCCCTGAGTGTGCTGGTGCATTATATGAGCAGAGCTTTTTAGCATATTGGTGCTAGTTTTGGATTCGGTTTTAGCTGAGGCTGTTCAGAGGTTCATTTTCTTTGGAAGAGATTGTGATTTCATGATCCATCCATGAGTTCAAGGATGGATCAGGGTTTGGCAGTGCTAGAGGAGGGAGTTTGAGGCGAGTGAAATCCACCTTTGGTTCATACCCAAAAAAACTTGTGATGTCTTGGACTAAACCTTCAGGAAATGTATGGCATGTCAGGAATTGAAGGCATCAGGCCTATTTCGTTTCATCGTCATGGGCCAATCATGTTCATCAATCACACAGTCGATCCTCTGGTCTAAGTAGTGGTCCGGCAGCCAGACATTCCATATATGCTGTACATTTCCTCCCAGCAGCAACTAAACCCTATATGGAACTGGAGAAAGCAGACTTAAACTTACCCCTAAATGCAGTCTGCTTTTGCTTGGGATGTTGGCAGCACTGTTTTTTAAATAGACCTTCCATATTTTCCTCAAGGGAAGCAAATACTCAGCAGCAGCTCAGACCAACATAAACACCCTGTTCTTATCTCCTTGGCTTCCTCATTTGAAGAAATCATGAAGCCCTCCTTTCCTGTGTGGAAGCATTGCCTATATCCTGGTTGAGAGGCTGTCATCTGAACTGTAAATCCTTTGCGTGTGTTGAAACCATGGCTGCGAAAGTTCAAGCGCCACCCCTCCAAATTTCCACCTGTGAAATTGGTTTTGGGTGCCTACTTAAGGGTTTGCCTGATGGTTTATGGGCGGAAACGTTTCAAACGGATGCATCAGTGTTTGTGAAAAATTTCCCTCGGTCATAGTGCTGTGTAGTTTCTTTTGATGTCTTTTTGTGATGTGAACAAGATAGTATCCATTTCCGCCACATTAAAGGCTTACCCTCCGGTCTGCTGGAAATCCTCAAACATTCATGTGCACTAGGGGTCAAGCAGAGTGACATTGCTAAAAGATTCAGTGTGCTGGGAAGGCATCAACAAAAGTTGTGGACTCACACACTCCACACACACCCACCCTCTGCTGCCGTCAGCGCTCTCAGGGCTTTTCATATTTTATCGACCATTACGGATGCATGAACTGCTCTCTCAGGATTAGAGGGAGTGCGAGGCAGAGTTGGTGAGTGACGGTCGGCCTTTTATCGCTTCAGCCCTGCTGCTGACTGGCAGCTCAAATGCCTCCTCATTAGAATAGGGACAGAGAGGGAAAAAAAGAGAGGAGGTCTACAAAGCTGCTTAAATTCTACTATCTGATCTTTTTGATGGGATTATCATCATGTAGTATTTGCAGTAGTGTAGTTACAGTGTCTGACGGACAAAACTCAGGGAGACTGTGAGCGAGAAGCTGCTGTCACTCCCCTTTACTGGAAGTCCCCACACTGAATGCGTGACAAATGGCGCCATTGTATTTGTGCCAGTGACACACTTTCTGGGCTTATGATGTGTAAGCATATCTTTTTTTTTTTACAGTGCCTCAGTTCAATGCAGTATTACTGGAGGCTATTTAAAAAAAAACGTTGGTCACGTCATAGGGCTGTCCCTATCTGAGTTGCTATAACTGTCCCAGAAGAGCATTCCAGACATTACCCAGAAGCCCTCTGTCCTCTCTGCTGCAGCTGTTGACCTCTCACCCAGGCAAGATTAATAGCTTAACAATGTACAATATGGAGCGCCTGGGTCGGCTTGCTGACATTGATGGACATATTCAAACCCTGGTGCAAAGCATGAGAAGCCAAACAAAAGCAAGCTGACAAACAAGTCTCCCACTGAACTGCTGAGCTAACCAGTGAGTGTTGTTGTTGTGAGTGCAAGTGTGGAAGCGCAGTGGTGAGTCGGTGTATTTTTTTTGTTGCAGAAGTGCAAAAGTTGCCACTTTCACCACTCAGAAGAGCTAGATCTTTTCCAGCATCAGTGTAAGTAAACTGCGCTATTGGAGAGGGTCTATCCTCTCCACAGCACAGTTTTCAAAGGTGTTTAAAAGAATGTGGAGTCTCTGGGAAGGCCAGCATCCCTTCCCTCTCGAGAGTCATTGTATGCAGCTCTGAGGTTGTACTCCTGCCAAAAGTTTTTTTCCACACATATAATAACATGTCTTTCGTTAGACTGGGATCTTGCGACTCTGGCACGACCCTCCCATATGAAATAAGAACAAGATTTGACACGGCAGGGTAGCGTTTTGGGGTTCGAGGGAAAGGGATGCCAAGTATTGGATTTCATTCCGAGCCCTGTTAATATGTGGGAATTCTGGGGCCTGTGGAATGTGGCATGGCCGACTTTCTTCTTATTCCCAGTATTAATAGCGTAGTTATCCCAGTGATCCGGTCTGTTTGATGAGCCGAGATGTGACTCGTGGAGATGCGCCTGTTGGCCATTGGAAAAGTGGGTCAGCAGTGGGTCTGTGCTTCTGACGTTATAGTCTCTCTACTTGATACAACCTCCTTCCTGAGCCAACATTAACATCTTTATTGTTGAGCTCCCACACAGAAACATGTGGATGACCTATACTGAGTACTGCTACACATGCCGAAGCTTTGGCAAGAAAAAGAAATGAAATGCACTTTTTAAAAACAACACAGAAAAGTGTCTCACAAACAGCTTTTTACTGCGCTAGGTCTCCAAAAGTTTCTCTGCAAACTTTTGCTAATCCCTTCACCCAAGTCGTCTGCTTCTGCTCGGGTTCTTATTTCAACCATTGTTCATGCAACTCGTGTCTGTGGTCCGTGGCTTGTATGAAGGGGTTTAACATGTTTATAATAGTTTGCTTCAAACTGCAGCTGTGCATGGATGGCTACTTAGGGCTTTCACTGCCGTGTGGAACTGCTACATGTGTTTGATCAGGGCAAAAAACACTCAGTCTAAAAGCACAGTTGTAACAACCCCTGGGTTCCTCATATGGACTGTGCCATTATGAATGTTCCTCGCATCAGGAAGTGGCTTATTGTAATGAATCAAACTAAATGAAATGGCTATTAATGCCTTCCCCAGAGGATTGGAAACACACACCCCCCTCCTCTTTTTCCAGTGGTTTAGTCAAGGCATTTCCCCCTTTATGGGTGAGGTGGGTTTCTGTGCCTCATGGTCCCATTAAAACCAATAGTGCTTATATGTTTGCTTTGAATGAAGCAATAAGCCTATAAGATTTCTGAGAATTCTCAAATGTTGGCTGTGAGAGAGTTGACAGTTTAAAAGGTTTTAATGTGATATTGAGAGACTGACATTTATAGTGGGTAGAGATTTGGCTGCTCTGTGTTATTTAAACAAAAGTTGATTTGTAAGAATTTACACAATGTGGACATCTGAGACAGTTTGAAGAGATTGTCTAGAATTACCGACGCATAGCAAGTGAGTCCCCAGTGATGGAATAACAACAGACGGTAGACGGATATGAAGAGCATTTAACAACCTGAGCCGTTTTTGTTCTGGAGAGAATATCTGTGTTCTTCATGTGCTAGATCAGTAACCATGGTGCAAACCCAGGGCAGCTTCATGTAATTACCTTGTCCCTGCATTTACTAAGCTGTTTGTAAACAAAAGAAAATGAAAATTGCTTCTTTGTCCAAATGTGATTGCATTTGCCTCGGAGACAGTCTGGAAATATTTAAGCAGGAGTATTAACCTTGAACTATTACAGTAATTAATAGTAATTATTGCTGTGGTCATTTTAATTGAGGTACTCTGACTTACTCATTTCTTTCTTATGCTATGAACAGTGCTGGATCTATATTATATGACAGCCTAATGGAACCAACTCAGCAACACATCTTGCACATTGTTCTGGTGCATTATTTAAAGCTTGTTATATACAGCAACAAGAAATGTGAGGTTATTTTTAAAACATGTGCTTGAAAGTCATTCTCATGTTTTAAAAACAGGTTTCCTATCGTATGTTTGACTGACTCAGCAGGAGTCTGAATGGACATATAGATTGTCTATCCCATAGCAACGTTCGCTAAAATAGTGACTCTATGGGAGCCCACAGTTTTATATGTGGCAGTAGACCTTTGTCATCATTAGGGGTGTCACCTGTTTGAACATTTAAACATTCAAAAGTGTTTGTTGGTGTAATGACTTGTTTGAATTAATATTATGCAGTCTAGTAGTAGTTTGTATTTTGATCCTGCAGAGGACACTTACTATCAGCTTGACCAATTGCATTGCCCTCTTGACCTATTGGTAAAGAAATCCTGTAATGTCTTGTTGTATTGCTACAAAAAAGGTGGCTGTCAAATATATTCAAACAAATTACGTGTCAGATTCATTCAAACTTGGTTTTAACAATAGTTGACACTTGTTTAGGCTTATGTAGCAGTCATGGTTTTGAACAGAAGAAGTCTTTTGAATGAGAGGGGAAAGGTCTTGTTTCTCATCATTCAGCTTGGGAAGGATGAATGAGAATCTTCACAGACATTAAAATAAGTTCTTCCTAATAGTTAGAGGACCATGTTGGCATGGTTACAGGATTACAAACAGTTAAGTTTATGGAGCGGTCAAAGAAACAATGACAACTATTGGTTTCAGACAGAGACAGAGTGTGGTCTCTCTTGTGATAGTCT